AAATGAAGAGAATGAGCCAGCTTCCTGCCAATAGCACATATGTCACCCATCGGTTGCGAGTTCTCAACAAAATTCTTCAACTCTTGTCCATACAGGTATAATTTTGCTTTTGGAATTGCATACCCTCAATGAAAAATTTTGGACCCAAATTCTTCTTATTTGGGACATGTACTAGCTACTTGCAAAGATTGAAGCTTTCGATTTTTTTATTTTATTTTTTGATAATTTTCTCCTTGTATTTGGAGGAATACCCATGTCCATTGGAGGTGTTCCACTTTTGAGGTGCGTTTCCACTTGAAAGTTTGATGCTTGTTTGTCTTACATATTTTTCTTTTGTACCAGAGAACCGCTTCACAAGAGGACGAATTGGAACTGCTTTTTGCTGGGTTGTCTCTGTGAACTGGACTGGTTTGGCTGCAGCCTGCAGATGGTAACCTGATGTTCTATTTAGGACAATATTAGTTTTGTAATTTATATCTGGAGATGGCTCAAAATGTTCTGATTAAAACATCTTTGTAATTGCGCATAATTTATTTGTGGAGAACTTGATAGTGTATATGATTGTTTTATTTATTTCCAAGCAATGGTTCAAATGATAAATCCTAATACAAAAGTTTCTGTTGAATTTTTAACTTTCTTAATAAAGTTTGTTACCTCTCTCCCCCTTGCAAACTCAGAAACCCTGAGTTATTATCTTTTTTGTATGCTATTTATTTTAATTCTTAATCTTATTACTGTTTTTCTCCTTTCTCCTGTGTTTTACTAGACTAGATCTTTTTTTCTTTTTCATTTTCTTTCCCATTGATTTTATTGTTTTGAATTGTGGATTTGTTTGATAAAAATGTATACTTTGTGCAACTTTGGATATTCCCTTTTACCACATGCACTAAAATAGGAGTTTGTTATTAGTACTTGTGAGTTTGTTTAATAATATACCGGTCGTTCATTTAGCCCAAGTCATGCCATCAATGCTTCATGCTCTTCAATCATGTGCCTTGAGCTTGGTTGATGGAAACATAATTCTCCTTTTGTGAGCAACTTCACTAAGTTTTGAACTAGAATTTTTGGTATGTATCCATTAATAGGGGTAGCTACAGGACGTTTCCTTCCAGTTTGGCAATTTCTACGTTTGGCAATTTCTACCTTGATGGAGAGACAAGCAGATGCAGTAAAATTTCTTGAGGGCTTTAGTGCAATCAGAAGACTCAAGTATGATAAGAAGTAAATCATATACCTTTCTGCTCTTCTGTTTCCCTTGTCCTTGCTTCTCACTGTGGTCAATGGCGTCGGTAAAGAGTTGATAATGAAATTTCTCCCTCTCCAAGCCATAGGCAACTAAACTTCTCATTAGGTTAGGGCATTCCAGGCAATTACATACTTGTGTCATTATCTGGTTATCTTGTTTCTGGTGTTCATCATTTGCTTTTGCAGGTTGATTAACATAATCAGGATACCACCTGCCTGCAACACCAAGAAAAACATAATCAGAGACTGTCAACCTGGGCCTCTATATTTCCCAGCATATATGGGTCGGAGAAACAGTACACTGTTAGAATGCATTTTGGTAGTCTGACTTTTCTTTATTTTATGTAATTATCTCTTTTAGTTGTTCAGATACATGCTTTTTCTTGGAGTCTTTGAATCAGTGAGGGGCATGCCCTCTTGTCCATTTTTTGTCGCACAGCTATCCCGACCGTGAACCTGATTCATTATGCAGGTGTTACATG